TATATATATATATATATATATATATATATATATATATATATAAGATCACGTAATTTTTCTGCATAACGGTTTATAATTATTACGATATCGTTTCACTAATCATTCGACAACGTCTCGATGAAAGTTAAGCGGTATGCAGGCCGCTTTGTAATTCAATTCTTCGTGCATTCGTTTCTCGTGGGCTACCACTCAATGATGTTCGATACATTATTAAATAGTTGTAACACATAGCCATGATGCGGTTAATTGCACACAAAAGACTCATTACATCCTGTTGCATAAGCGACGAACGATTATCATATTTTCTTCGCAATGTATCTTTTTAATTAACGTGGTATCGATCTATTTTCTTTCGTCTTTTTTTTTTTTTTGTAAAAAAGTTTTACTATAAACACCTATAGTTTTGAAATCGAATATTAATCGAATAATAATGATAATATTGGCCTGAATTCTCATCGAATCGTAACGAACGATTTAGTAACGTTTTTTATGTTATATTATTGATACGATTAGATAGGGCGTGCAAAAATACCGATAAGCGGAGAATGAGCTATTAAAAGCCTAGTCTTTGATAACGTTCAAACGTTGGAATCTTTGTCTACTCGCAGTTGTAGTAAAAATCGAAAAAATACTAGAATCTAGAACAAGAAAGTAACTTTCCGACACAAGAATGTTAAATAATTGTGTTAATTATTTTTGTGAAATATTTTCTTTTGTGAAATGTTTCATATTTTTCCCAGTTTTCTTCTAAAATATCAAATCACGTTCAATTGCGTTCGAAAAATGGTTAACGATTGACGGCGATCCCTAAAAATTCATTAAGTACGTACAATCGTTGGCCGATCGCGTGTGACCCAAAGTGCATTGAGAAAAAGATCTAGCCACTTAGGGGTCGTCGTGTTTGACCCCACTTTGCGACATCCTATTTAAACCATTTATGAATCATATTAACATACCGAAGCGGAGAGGAACGTATGTGAAACGCGTTATTCTCGATGATGGATTACGAGTTGAATCGTACGATATCATAGATCTAACCAAACCGGTTTCCTTCCTTTACGAGAAGAAAAAATCCGCGAGGTTTTTAGTGGTTTCATCGATCACTGTAATATTATCTAATATTGTGAAACGATCAATTGATTTATTTAATATAAAACGAACGTCATCATATCGATCAACGATCAATAAAATAAAGCGATAAAATATATACGAGAAATTCAAAGTTTTCTTTTCTTTAAACGTATACATTCTTGTTGCCTTCAAGGGTTGATTAATTTTCTCGAAACTTTCGTCAGAGGGCATTCACTTTGCATTCTGTTTCATTGTTACTGTGACCTACTTTAGGAAATGAAATCGAGAGAGTAAAGTTGATTATTTATTAAAAGGTGGTTTCTTTATTCAAAGATGTATCTTATAATAAAAATAGATACTGCAGAAAAATTAATCAGGTCATGTTTATACGAACCTTCCCGTACTCCCTATGTCGTTGTTCATCCCTTGCAACTATATGAGCGTATACACGTACACGTATCTTAATGAGATTAAATAGATTCTAAACCAGTCCATGTATTTATACCTCAACAACCATCGTTAGTTAAGATGGAACGATTAATGGCACGTCGAATAAAGGACGCATTGAAAAATATAGTACGCGACCAGGTCGTTGAACCATGGAATTAATAACACGGAATTTCGGATGAGATTTTTAGTAACCTGGAAACACAGTTTCATGACATCCCATTTAAACAAGATTATGAATCATATTAATATATACCGTGTCGGGGTTCCGTTGCATGTGGGACGATTCGCATGTGGATGAACCGCAATTACGCAATAATTATTTACCTTAATAAATTGCCTTGTGTTGAATCGTTTAACGAAATCATCATGATCGATCGGACGTGAATCGATTCGTGGAAAAGATTTTAAAGGCGGAGAAGAAATAAAGAATAAGAACTCGAGTGGTTCCGTGGGTGTCACAGCTTGCCGGATCCGGTTGATCATCGTTCATTAAAAATTCTGATCTCCTCCTACGAACTCTTACCGGTTCGCGTATTATCAACGCGGCGAATTCCACGCCAGAAATTTCTATGAAGATTATTAAAGCATGTTTCTACATCGCTCGCGTAGAAATAGCACTGCGATTGCAAAACGCTACGCGCGAAGATCGCTAATATATCGTAGAAAATACGAACGAACGTGGCCCAATTTCGGCGAAACGACGAATACTTTCAAACGTCTCTCGTCCATTTTATCGTTGCTTATCGTTACTTTAGATAGGATTAGAATCGGAATGAGGTCGTTTCAGATTCCTCGCGGACGAGATTTCTTGTTCCCTAACGGTGGTATGCATAGTTTGCGGTAGTTGGTCTATCCAATTATTCTAATAAGGGATATTATAGTGTTCTGGAACAGTTGTACAAAGTATATAGGTGCGTCTTTCGTGCTCCTTGACAGAATCGTCGACTTTATTATTCATTGCGAATGGTAAATATCCGGGCAAAGATCCTCGATGATCACTCTAATGTATTATATTGTTATGTACTTTATATATTTGTATTCGTTAATCTTTCTATTATTTCGTTCTTATGGCTGTCATTATAACTACATCAGTAATAAGCCATTAATGGTTTCATGGTAATAATGGAATGGGTTAGTGGTTTATTGAAGTATCCTTCTCGTTTCAATGGTATCATGATAATAACAGGAAAATAAACGACTTGAAGTAAGCTTGTTCAAGTACGATTCAACGAATAACATTTAGTTGCTATGTCAAAGAGTTAAATCAAAAGATTCTACTGCGCTTTTATTTATGCGATCTTTCGATCTTTCTCAGATAGTAAAATAGAATCTTTAACCTTTCGCGGTTTCGTGTCGAATTGCGTTTAACATTATATCAATTCGATTCTTTTCGATTTTATCATACGAGATATATTCTTTTCGTGTAATTGTTGAACGAAAGTATATCAATATAGATATTCAGCGAAGATAACGAAAATATTCTACAACGTAAAAAAAAACTTTCATTTCCAATTTGTAATAAATTTTTGAAATATATCTTAATATAATTAAATATATCTTAAATATAAAAAAGTTGGAATAATTAAATAAATTGTTGATATCACAAACGATTAATATCAAACAAATAATCGATGGAAAGTTAGTTACCGAGTTACAATTGTATCCACCATAGTCGAAGGTGTGTCGTTTCAATGAGTAAATTCTAGTCGTTCTAAAGAGAAACGCATCTCGTATCGAAGTTTCTGGTAAACAAGTTTCGTATCAAACTCTCAATATTGCCCATTGAAATCTGGAAATTGAACTTTATGGAAGATATTCATCAACTTCGAACCGCAAATAATTTCTGGCGAAATTATTCCTCGATATTGTCGTGCACCATTATACGTTCGAACTATCACTATCAACGGATAGTTGAAAATTGTCATCGATTTTCTATAAGCAATTAAAATCGCTCGTAAAG